CAGAGAGCGGTTTTAGGACAGCCCCCCACATACAAATCATTCTGAGGATCTGACCCTAGCACCCCGCAACTCCTAAACTCCAAGACAAAAGCCCAGAACGACATAAAACAAGACCCTAAGCAACTTGATAGAAGATCCAACTTCGACTCCAAAAAACACGCGAAGCGATGCCTCCAAAAAAACAACCCCAAGTAACTTGATGTAAGGTCGAAGAGGCTGGTCCCAAAGGCAGTAGATCACCCCCTGGATTGGCAGCTTCGAAAAGATGTGGCCATGAGTTTCCCAAGTCCGGGTCCTCGATGCTGCTTGGTTTAGGGCTTAAGGGGTTAAGGGGTTTAGGAGTAAGGGGTTAAGGGGTTTAGGTATTTAAGGGGTTTTGGGGTCTGGGGGGGCTTATGAACGGGTTTAGGGTTTCGGCTGCTGCGTGGCAGATATTGGTGTACTGTGGCAGATACTGGTGTGCTGTCGTGTTGTGATATTTGTATGATATTCGAATACCACGATCAGAGATGTCATACTATTAAGAGAAATTTTACTATCTATCTATATATATATATACACAGATATACATACATATATATATATACATACATATACAAGACCATGCGAAAAACTATCATAGTAATATAGGGTGCGGGGTTTAGGCAGTCTAGGAATGCTAGGCCTACAGCGAAAGGGCTCAGGGTTGTGGTGTTTGTGCGAGGGTTTAGGGTTTAGGGTTTAGGTCACGGCTCGTGCTTTGGACTGCGGGTTTCAGTGATCTTTGGGGTTTGGCACGAAGCAAAAAGCAAGACTATGACACCCTAAACCCTAAACCCTGTTATCATGTTTGGTACTGTTTCTGAGTTTTGTTAGTGCTCCTGGCTCCTCCTGGCACAAAATCCACTACGACCATGCCTATGAAGAGACACGAACAATAGCAGATGTTACGTGAAGCGTGGAGTGTGGGTTTGGGTGGGGTTTGAGGCAGTGTTAAATATATATATATATATATGTATATACATATATATATATATATATATATAAATATGCATGTATGTAT